TTTTTTGTTTTTTTTTTTTTTTTTTTTTTTTTTTTTTTTTTTTTTTTTTTTTTTTTTTTTTTTTTTTTTTTTGTCTTCTCTGACAGATCATGTTTGAGAAGTGTGTGGGCCACAATGAATTTTTAGAAATTTTACAGGGTTGTGGGCAACCCTCAAAGGAGCTTTTACAAAGTCTGTTAAATTTGGTGAGTTCACTTGGAACGCAGCTAGACCTATTAAAAGTGGATGTTTTCAAATATCTTCAGCGGGTAAAATTCAAAACCAACATAATTTGTAAAAACATTGTGTTATTTGCTTAATAAAAAAAACAAAAAACCCAATGATAAAGTTTTAGCTTTTAGTGACATTTGACCTCATTTTTGACCGCATTGTTGACCTCATTTTTGACCGCATTGTTGACCTCATTTTTGACCGCATTGTTGACCTCATTGCCAGGTTGTTGAAACGCCCTACGAGACCATGAAAACCACGGCTGTAAGAAACACACACAAGCCAACGTGCTGCTGATGAAGTGGCTGGTCAAGATTGAGTTGCATGACCTCCAGGTACTTTGTGTTTCAACTGTATCTCATGTTCCTCCATGCAGCCATTGATTTGTTTATGTGCTCATCTGGACTGATCATTTTAGGGAGGTGGAGGCACTGGGTAAAAATTTAAATCGGGCGCAAGTGTATTTGTCCAAGTCAGAAGTACTGGGTCCCATCTACAAGTGTATTTGTCCAAGTCAGAAGTACTGGGTCCCATCTACAAGTGTATTTGTCCAAGTTAGAAGTACTGGGTCCCATCTACAAGTGTATTTGTTTTGAAGTCAGAAGTACTGGGTCCCATCTACAATTGTATTTGTCCATGTCAGAAATACTGGGTCCCATCTACAAGTGTATTTGTTTTGAAGTCAGAAGTACTGGGTCCCATCTACAAGTGTATTTGTCCAAGTCAGAAGTACTGGGTCCCATCTACAAGTGTATTTGTCCAAGTCAGAAGTACTGGGTCCCATCTACAAGTGTATTTGTTTTGAAGTCAGAAGTACTGGGTCCCATCTACAAGTGTATTTGTCCAAGTTAGAAGTACTGGGTCCCATCTACAAGTGTATTTGTTTTGAAGTCAGAAGTACTGGGTCCCATCTACAATTGTATTTGTCCATGTCAGAAATACTGGGTCCCATCTACAAGTGTATTTGTTTTGAAGTCAGAAGTACTGGGTCCCATCTACAAGTGTATTTGTCCAAGTCAGAAGTACTGGGTCCCATCTACAAGTGTATTTGTCCAAGTCAGAAGTACTGGGTCCCATCTACAAGTGTATTTGTTTTGAAGTCAGAAGTACTGGGTCTCATCTACAAGTGTATTTGTCCAAGTCAGAAGTAGTGGGTCCCATCGACCAAAAATACTTTTCTACAAAATAATTTTTTTTTAAATTCTGAAGTCCTAACCTGTCAAGTTACAGCTGCCAGGATATATCCAGAACAAAATTTAAACCGGGCACAAGTATATTTGTTTTGAAGTCAGAAGTACTGGGTCCCATCGACCAAAAATACTTTTCTACAAAACAATTTTTTTTAAAATTCTGAAGTCTTAACCTGTCTAGTACAGCTGCCAGAATATATCCAGAACAAAATTTAAAAATTCAACCATTACAGAATAAAACGAAAGTAGTCCAATAACGGTGTACGGTATGTGTTCAATAACATAAACATTACGTGCTTCCATTATTAAAATTGTGATGTTGTGCAGTTAACGGCAGAGTTACCCATGTTTGTTTCTGTCAGAAATGGCTGAGCGAAGAGCTGAAGAAACTCTGCACAACTAGTTATGGTAACAGGATGGCGTGTTGTAAGGGAAAGATGGTTGGTGGGATCATCTCCTTGCTGGCACAGCACTCACAGCTGCAGACAGTTGATAAGCATGTGACTGTGCACATATAGCTAATTTCTGAGATTTCCTTATGCATTTCTGATTTTTTTTTCCTGTTATGTACTTCTGACATTTAATTCTCTTTTATATCTCTGACACTACTGGAATAGTAAATTGTTATATTTGTCAAATTTTTTGTACATAGTAAACATAGTATAAATTGATCATGGGCTCTTAATATATAAAAGTAGGAAGAAGATGTTCATTTTATTTAACAAGACAATATATCCTCGAATATCTCCTTGATTGAAATGTTATCGTCAATGTTTTCCAATATCATTTCAAGTTCAATTTCTGATCGCCCACCTAAAATTTTCATTTCCGAATGTCTCAACATTTTGTTATTTAAAAACAGTTCAACTGTTCTGTAAAAAAACTTTTCTGTCTCATCATCTGTAACCGAAAAACAAAAGGAAAAAAAAAAAAAACCTTTTAAAAATAGCGTTAATGTTCTACAACTCTCAGTAGCCTGTAAATCTTAAGTTCTTGAACTTGACCACAGTATCCTTTCACCACCCGCCTGATGTGAGCAATATCAACCATGGCCAGGAGAGATGGCATCTGTGGACCACTCCACTTCTTTGACATACAGAACTTGTTAGATGTAAGAATTTTATGCGTGCCCAGACTAGGTCAAAAGTTTCCAAAACATGAAATAGATGTGATGCTTTCCTTTTAACCCTTTGAACCTGAGATCCCGCTTTAGCGGTGCGTATGTTAAAAAATCTATAACCCACCAGACAGATATTTCGGTCTCCCCTGCCTTAGCCTAGCTCAAGAGTCTGTAATATAAAAATATGTTGTAAATACAGAAGTTAAAGTTTAACATGCGACCTATGAAAGGTCACAGTAATGGCAGTGCCCTTGGATTCATTGTTTCTGTTGTGTCTGAGTAATGTTTTTCTATGTATGGAGGTGAGGAAAATGCACAAAAATGCTATTCTAAAGGATTGAAAACACATCAGGTTTTTTGTTTTATAATTTAAACAATTGAAAAGATTATTGTTGTGTTTTGAAAAAAAGGATTTTAATAAAAGCAATTAGACATTGATAGTGATGATCGATGTGCTAGTGGTGGAATGTGTAGACAATGATAGTGATGATCGCTGTGCTAGTGGTGCAACGTGTAGACAATGATAGTGATGATCAGTGTGCTAGTGGTGGAACGTATAGACAATGATAGTGATGATCAGTGTGCTAGTGGTGGAACGTATAGACAATGATAGTGATGATCAGTGTGCTAGTGGTGCAACGTGTAGACAATGATAGTGATGATCAGTGTGCTAGTGGTGGAACGTATAGACAATGATAGTGATGATCAGTGTGCTAGTGTTTGAACATGTAGACACTTATAGTAACGATGAACGTGCTTAGTAGGGGAATGTGTGCTTTGGGAAATTATGTTGATCCCTAGTCCTTGCTTTGGTTTGTATGAAAATCAAGGGTGTGAGACTGGCTTCTGTGCCATTCTACAGGGATTCTAAAACAATTTTCTCCATGTGACACATTTGATAACTGTAAAGGTCTGTTAACAGACAAATTTAGATTAACATAAATACATAATCATGGAATTCTTTTTGCTTGTGTGACTGTGATAATTTTACCTAGTAGCCCCTTGGCTTTGGTGTTGTAGGACCAGGAGCCAAGGGTTCAAAGAGGTATTTGGAGCTGACTTGTTTTGGCTGAGCTCCACTCTGGGAAAAATTTTTGTCAGCTCCGCTCTTTTGTCAGCTCCGCTCTAAGCTCGAATTAAGGAGTTATTAAAGGGTTGTTAAGGGGTGGTTAAAGGTGGGAGCTAAGAGCTTAAAAGAAATGTGTTTATTTCTGTCTTTTACCCATCTTTTTTACTAAACATGTGAAATGCATGTACCAGCAACTTAGCTGATATAAGAGTGAGGCAGCATAGCTGGTATAACAGAGGGGCAACATAGCTGTAGTAGAGTGGGGGAAGATAGCTTTAGAAGAGTGGGGTACAACTTATCAAAATTTAATAAAAATTATTTTATTAAAATTTTAGAGCTTGGAACAGTATGAAATTTTTACCAGCTCCAGGCAAAAAATATCCTTTTCCAGAGCTCTGCTCCAAATCCCTGCTCCAGAGCTCTGCTCCAAATCCCTGCTCCAGAGTTCTACTCTAAATCCCTGGTCCAGATTTCTGCTCTAAATCCCTGGTCCAGAGTTCTGCTCTAAATCCCTGGTCCAGAGTTCTGCTCTAAATCCCTGGTCCAGAGTTCTGCTCTAAATCCCTGGTCCAGAGTTCTACTCTAAATCCCTGGTCCAGAGTTCTACTCTAAATCCCTGGTCCAGAGTTCTGCTCTAAATCCCTGGTCCAGAGTTCTGCTCTAAATCCCTGCTCCAGAGTTCTACTCTAAATCCCTGGTCCAGATTTCTGCTCTAAATCCCTGGTCCAGAGTTCTGCTCTAAATCCCTGGTCCAGAGTTCTGCTCTAAATCCCTGGTCCAGAGTTCTGCTCTAAATCCCTGGTCCAGAGTTCTGCTCTAAATCCCTGGTCCAGAGTTCTGCTCTAAATCCCTGGTCCAGAGTTCTGCTCTAAATCCCTGGTCCAGAGTTCTGCTCTAAATCCCTGGTCCAGAGTTCTGCTCTAAATCCCTGGTCCAGAGTTCTGCTCTAAATCCCTGGTCCAGAGTTCTGCTCTAAATCCCTGGTCCAGAGTTCTGCTCTAAATCCCTGGTCCAGAGTTCTGCTCTAAATCCCTGGTCCAGAGCTCTGCTCCTAATCCCTAGTGCAAAGGGTAAAAATAAAAAGTTATAATCCATTAATTGATTTTTTTTGTGTGCAAGAATTAAAACTAAGTGAAGTATAATTGCTGTTAAGAATAAAATACATTTCTGTGTTTAGTATTATAATTTTAAATCTTAGTTGAATGATTTCTGTATTTCCTTAAATTGGATGGGTCATTGTTGCTGCGCAAAGAGCTTGATAATGTCATACAAATTTTAGGCTGCAAGTAACAGTGGGGAATTTTTTTTTAGTAAGTTCAAGAAATAATATTTGCATGATCTCAAGTTAAAAATCTTTATCGTTGCATTACATTTAGGCAATACTAAAAATTGACTTGCCAGTTTAAAAAAAATATTGTTAATGTTTCAGGCTGCCTGTATCGAAATGTAAAATTATAGAAAGAATCGACTGTGGAACTCTTGTCTTTGTGTGATAACTTAAATGGCAGGAATAAAATTAAAATTAGTATCTTTAAAATTTCATTTATATTTTATTGTAACTCATGAATAGGCCATCAGCCTGCCAGGCATACGGAAGTGGCCAGGACCGGGATTCACTTTCTTCACTTTAGTGTGTCTTGACACTAATCCAAGTCTTGACGCCTTTGGCCAGTTAGGATCACCTTTGTCTTTCAGGCGAATTCTCTACTGGTAAGTGGTGATTTATCAAAAATCACTTGCTCATATCTTAATAAAATTAAACAAGAAAAATTGGCAGTTATTATGTTGTTAAGTTAAAATGCTACACATTTTATAATCCTGTTGTTGCTTTTTTTTTTTTTTAAATAAGTGCTCTACCCCCATTCCCCTTTCGTACTTAAAAAAAACAAATACTTATTTTTACAATAAAGCTAATACAAGGACAGTAACTGTTGTTTCCTTTTCAGTTTCAGCGGCAGCAGTGGCAGTGGGTTTGAGGCTTTTGTAACTCCTTCCCACCACCTGGCTGTTGCCACCTTCAACAAAAAAGAGTTCAGTACAGTCACAGTCAGTGATTTCATTTTTGATGATGGTCTTTGGGTATGCAATAGTTTCAGATTAACTTTCTATTTACTCATAAAATTGTTTTATGACGATCAATTTTTTTTTTTTTTTTTACTTTTGGGAAAACATTTAACATCCGTTTAAGTTTAAAAAAAAAAAAGCTAGACTCAACCCACTCTTACCCGATCCTTTAGATATACTGTTCCAGTGTGTTTGAGCAAAGTGACATGACTTGAATTATATGTCTGAGTAGAGGCAAAACTGTAATTGGAAATACTCATACAAGATTAATGTGGGTGGCCGAGCGGTCTAAACTGTCTCAAACCAAATAGCAGTGGCGCCAGTGGTCCGGAGTTCAATCCCCATTAAAGCCAACATCCCCAGCACCCCGGGTGGATGGGACTCGTTAGCCTTGGACGGCAACCCATCTAAGAGAAGGCAAACTCTGAATTAAAACCAGGAGCCATAATGATCAACAAATTGATCGTGGGCCCCTCAAATATAAGAAGAAGAAGAAGACATAGAAATAGAAAGAGAGAAATATATATTTTTTTAAATTTATTACTGTGCTGTAAAATGAATTTAATCTAATAATAAATTTAAATGTAGATTTTTAAATTTCACTCTACTATCCAAATTTTGGTGAGACTGAACATTTCAACGTCTTGCTCAAATTTTATTGGACACATCTTTTGTTGTGACAGTAATTGAAGCATCAACTTTTTTTTCAACAAGGAAGAGTGAGACTTGCCTTAAGAACTATTATTTCTTAGAGTAGTTTTGTTGCTAGGCTCCATGACAGGGCATCAGGTGTCACAGGGAACTTTACAGTAGGCCCCATGACAGGGCATCAGGTGTCACAGGGAACTTTACAGTAGGCTCCCTTGACAGGGCATCAGGTGTCACAGGGAACTTTACAGTAGGCCCCATGACAGGGCATCAGCTGTCACAGGTGTCACGTGAGAGGAATTATTGGAAAAAAAGATGATCACGTGATGAAAGAGAGTGTGTGTGTAGGTACGAGCAAGGGAAGATGGCTGTAATGAATTTTCACTGATATGTTTTTCCTGTAAAAAGTGTAGATATGTTCAGCTGCTGTATTAAAATCAGTTGTGTTTACCGAGGATTTCCATGTTATGAATGTGAGGAAGAGATGGTTGTGAATTAACGCCCACCAGGGAGAGCTCGGCTATAACGAACACGTTACATTTTGGTGTCAGAGGTCAAGATGGCGGTATAGTCAGTAACACATGGTGATTGGAGCAGAATTTTGAGAACAAAGTGCCTACTAAAAGAAGATTTGCATTACGGCAAAATTAAAAGTTCAAGTATCTGTAGTTTGTTTATCTACAGTCGTTATTGAATAGTGTGAACACGTACATTATGTCGCAGAAAAAGATAATTCAGTTATCAAGTATTTCCTTTTGAGACACGGGACAGCATCGTGCTCAACTTTTGTGGTTAAAGTGCTAGTGAAATGAAAAAGAAAGTGTTCATTATATGAAGAAACAGTATTGTCAGAACTTGTGGATATTAAATGCCGCATGCAGCAGTGCATAAACTGATGAAGTTTATGATATATTAGAGATATACAGTTGGACATTTGTTGCTCAATGACAGTGTCGAGAGTCCAGTTCAAGGACTGACCTACATAAGCAGATAGCGCATAGTATAAACCTACGTCACACAGCACGGTGTACGCTGTAAACAAGCATACTACACATTGTATGAATCAGGGTCACGCATTTATACCAGAGCGTTAACAGTACCAACTACACACTAGCTTCGTCTTTCCAAGAACTAGAAGTAAACAGTAAACACGACACAATTGGATATTTATAAAAGCTATGGACTATGTACTGTCACTATGGACAATCATTTAAAGCAGTGAATAATATATCAAGGAACTGGTTGTGACAATGAACAATTAATATTAGTGAATTACAAACAGAAGAACTGCATTTGGATATATTCATTTCATTGGGTGAGAACTGTAAAACAATTCGGATCAATGGACTAAACTAGAGTATCTAAAACTATTTCAATAATCAGAAAACTTTTCTTAGCGGATTATCTGACTCAAAATTTCGAACCATCGGATATATTTTGTCAACCTGAGGGAGCGTATATGTTTAGTATACTTAAGATCCTGTGTGTGGATGCTTTGTTGCCTCATTTTGTCAACCTGAGGGAGCGTATATGTTTAGTATACTTACGATCCTGTGTGTGGATGTTTTGTTGCCTCATTTTGTCAACCTGAGGGAGCTTATATGTTTAGTATACTTAAGATCCTGTGTGTGGATGCTTTGTTGCCTCATTTTGTCAACATTTAATTTAATGGTTTCACTTAAATGTATCACTTCTTTTGAATTAACATACTAATATTAATTAACAATTTTTTTTAACATATATATTTTTTGAATGTCGAAGTTAGCATTTTTATTCGTTGCATAATTCATGAATTAATTAATTGACATAATATATGCATTTTATATGATCTTGTATTACATAGAGTGTATTGATACATTGCACTTACATTGATCACAAAGTTGTTAACTCACATAATAACTCATTTAAACAATGGATTTATATAAAGAATTCACTGCCATAGCAGAAAAAATAGGATTAACTGGGAAAGAAATGAGAGCTTTCATTGAAGAGAAAGTCAAAGAAGCTGAAGAAGAAGAGAAACAAAAGCTAATAATTGAAATAGAAGAAAGAGTTGCAAGAAGGGAACTTGAACAACTTAAAAATGGCAATTTCAAACGACCAATTGAGTTTCTGAGCAAAGGTTTCAATCCTGGTAATGACTCAAATGAAAAGTCAACACCAAGGGATACAATCAAAGTAAGAAAATAGGATGCCAAAAAAGAAAAAATGGATGTCTATCTAGATTACTTTGAATCCCTAATGGCTATGAAAGGTTATGATGAGAAAGATTGGTCAACACAATTAATGACTCAACTAACAGGAGATGCTTTTGAAGCTTACAACAGTATAGCTAAAGAAGACAAAATCATATGTCAAAAAAGCACTTCTATGTCATTTCGGGAAGTCAGAAAATGATTATAGAAAAGAATTCCATGAAATGAGAATCAAGAAGGATAAAGATCCACAGATCATAGTACAGGAAGCTCAAGTTAAATTGACAAAATGGCTAGAACTTACAGCAATTGACACAAGCAATCCAAAGGCCATACTAGACATGGTGTTAATTGACAAAATGGCTAGAACTTACAGCAATTGACACAAGCAATCCAAAGGCCATACTAGACATGGTGTTAATTGACAAAATGGCTAGAACTTACAGCAATTGACACAAGCAATCCAAAGGCTATAATAGACATGGTGTTAATTGACAAAATGGCTAGAACTTACAGCAATTGACACAAGCAATCCAAAGGCCATACTAGACATGGTGTTAATTGACAAATTCCTGGAGGATGCAACACCAACTCTTTTCACATACTTAACTGATAAGAAGATTTGTACTCAAGCAGAATTAACAAATGCATGACGAACATTCAAAGACTCTCATCCAGATGTAGCAATGGATAGAAGACAAGACATCTTTGCTGCAATGCAAAATAAAAGACCAGACAAAAGACAAAGAATGAGAAACCAGAGTCTTCCAAACTCAGGCAACAGAAATACTATTTGCTGGTACTGTAACAAGCCAGGACACATGGCGAAACAGTGTTACCACTATAAAGGACAACCAAATAGAGTGTCACCTAATGCAAGCCCTTTGAGAAAGAAAACAGAAGAAAGATCAAGACAAGGTCATTTTCAAAACAAAGGTAGACAATCATGGAGAGGCAGATACAACCATAACTCCAGATTCAGAGATTATGATCAGCCATGGAGGAAAAAATTACTACCAAGATGTGAAGGATACAGAAAAAACGAAACAAGAATCAACAAGATCAAGTGATACTGTGGCCACAATTGATAGTCATGGGAAACTTAAATTTTACCCAACATATATTAATAACAGAAAATGCATGTGTCTACGAGATTCTGGATGCACAACAATTGTTGTACACAGCAGAATGGTACAAGAAGATGAATATGATGGTCAAAAAGACACATTAATAATGGCTGATGGCACAAAGAGAGATTGTAAAACTGCTACTCTTAACATCAACTCACCCTGGTTTCAAGGTGAAGTTCGTGCCAGAGTTTTAAAAGATGCCATTTGTGACCTCATAATAGGAAACATTGAAGGTGTTGTTGACAATTCAGATGAAATGTTCAAAGCATGGTGTGACAACAACCATCAACTGTGTGCTAGTGTACAAACCAGAGCCTCCATGAAAAGAAAAGAAAAATTAGACATTGAAGTTGAAGACAACATTGCCATGGGAAGCCAACTTATGTCAAAACAAGAATTCAAGAAACTTCAAGAAGAAGACAAAACAATAAATGAAATAAAAATGAAACTGAGTAAAGACAATGAAACAGGCCACAATAAACAGTATAAACTAGATAAGGGCATATTGATAAACATTGCACAAGAAGGAACATTTAAAAGAATAGTTATGCCTGAGAAATTACAGGAATCTATTATAAAAATGACACATGATAGTCCTTTAGGTGGGCATATGGGCACCAAGAAAACAATTGCTACAATAGCAGAAAACTTTTATTGGCCTAAAATGAATAAACAGATAAAAGAATACATCAAGAAGTGTACAGTGTGTTTAAGACCCAATCCCAGAGATGGATGGAAAACACACAGCGCCAATACAGTCGTCTGACAAGCCAAACTTCCTGTTTGAGAAAATTGCCATAGACCTAATAGGACCATTCAAGAACATGTCAAAGAAAAAACATATTTCTGTTGTTACCATAGTGGACATAGCCACCAGATGGGCTGAAGCTGTTCCACTGAAAAAAATAGATGCAGAAAATATATGCACTTCACTACTCAATGTTTTCAGCAGATATGGTTTTCCACAAACCACACTTTCAGACAATGGCAGCCAATTCAAAGGACAGATGACACAAGCTATTATGAAAATGCTGGACATTACACCAGTGTACATCACAATTTACCATCCACAATCAAATGGAGTAATTGAAAGACTGAACAAAACAATCAAAAACATGCTAGCAAAAGTTACAATTGATCATGAAGACAAATGGCATGAATATCTACCTTTAGTGTTATTTGCATATAACAGCAGCAAGCATGAAAGCACAGGCTTTAGTCCTTTTGAATTAATGTTTGGTCAAAACCCTGCAAGTCCTTTAAGAAATTTCAAAGAAAGACTTATAAGCAAGCAAGATGCCATTCAGGACAGATATCAATTAATGTCTGAAACCAGAGATAAGATATTATACAGTATTGAAACAGCAAAACAAAGACTAATCAAGCAAAGTACAAGACATAAAGAAATTAAAAATAAACTCAGACAATTAAGAACATTTGAGCCAGAACAACAAGTATTAGTGTTATTGGCAAATTTAAAGAATGAAATCACATGGCAAGGTCCCTACAAGATTGAGGACAAACTTAGTGATGTCACATATAATGTCAATATCAAAGGACATGCGAAAACACTGCATATTGATAAACTAAGAGCATATGGTGACAATAAAGGAGAAACACAAACAGTAAATATCATCAGCAAAGAGAATAATGAAAATGATATGGACACAATGAAAAAGAAAAGCACCAACATAGAAAACATATCATCTGACATACCAGATATTATGAAAGATAGGGTGATGAAAATTTTTCAAAATTACAAAGGGGTCATCACAAAAGTAACAGGAAACACAAAAATGGTGACTCATAAAATACAACTGCTAGAACATGAACCATTCAAAACTAAGGTATACCCTATTCCAATGGCTTATAGAGACACTGTAAAACAAGAAATTGACTATCTTCTCAAAGAGAACAAAATCAGAAAAGCAGTTGAAGCTAACTATATCTCACCAACTGTGATAGTCAAGAAGAAGAATGGAAAAATTCGTCTATGCTGTGATTACAGACAATTGAACACTATCACAAAATTAGACCATGAACCCATAGGAGATCCAAGAGATATTGTAGACAGAATTGGTAATTCCAAAATATTCACTACATTTGATTTAAACAGAGGTTTTTGGCAAATAAACATGGATCCTACCTCTGTCCAATACACTGCATTTCTAGCCATGGATGAAGTGGATGAATGGCTAGTGATACACTGCATTTCTAGCCATGGATGAAGTGTATGAATGGCTAGTGACACAGTGCATTTCTAGCCATGGATGAAGTGTATGAATGGCTAGTGATACACTGTATTTCTAGCCATGGATGAAGTGTATGAATGGCTAGTGATACACTGAATTTCTAGCCATGGATGAAGTGTATGAATGGCTAGTGATACACTGCATTTCTAGCCATGGATGAAGTGTATGAATGGCTAGTTACACACTGCATTTCAAGCCATGGATGAAGTGTATGAATGGCTAGTGATGCCACTCGGATTAGTCAACAGTACAGCTACTTTTAGTAGATTTATGAAAGTGATGGTACAAGGCATCCCACATGTCATTATGTCGACGACATATGCATCCATACTAAAGATTAGGAAATGCACATACATACACTTGAAGCTGTACTAAATAGACTCAAGAAACATAATGTTACAATCTCACCTGAGAAAATAAACATTGGAAAGAAAGACATTGATTTTCTGGGATACAGAATAGGAGGAGGTAAAGTCACTCCCACTACAGAGAATGAAAATAAGATATTCAATTTGTCAATCCCAAAATCAAAAAAGCAAGATCAAGCCCTGCTGGGATTGTGCAATTTCTACAGACCATTTATTGAAAACTATGCTGAGATTGTCCACCCACTGACAGCAATTACAAAACACACAGATGTTAGAAGATTTCAATTTTCGGAAGAGTGCTTCAAGGCATTAGAAAAAATTAAACAAGCATTTAGAAAGAAACCCATCTTAGTCACACCCCAATGTGACAAACCTTTCATTGTTTCAACTGATGCATCATGTATTGCATTAGGAGCCTGCCTTATGCAAGAGCATGATGGTGTTCTTCATCCAATACAATACCTGAGCAGGAATTTGACAAAAACTGAACAGAACTATAGCACGATAGAGAGAGAATGTCTGGCCATAGTATGGGCTCTACAGAAACTGCAAAAATACCTGCTAGGTAAAACATTCACTCTACTCACAGACCACAAACCATTAGTAGCATTCAACAAGAAGAAAATAAGCAACGCAAAAGTCAACCGTTGGGCAATGCTATTAGCAGATTACAAATTTGACATAAAATCTGTTAAAGGAAAAGACAATGTTATGCAGACATTCTAAGCAGAATGACAAAAAATACAGACATTCTGTAAATGAAAAAAAAGTAAAACGAACTGTCTTAGTGTTCATATTTACAAAAGAAATGATAGCAACAAAAATTTTTTTGAGTTCTATCATATGACATATTTAATTTTATGTGTTATGCTTATTACAAGTTATTTGAACTACACAAAATTACAGATGTGTTAGAATTTCAGTTTATTTCATTTTCAGTACAGACTGTTGAAGTTCTGCAGATTTTTCTTTCTTGATTTCTATGTCTAAATATTGTATGCATTTCATTTTTGCAAAACAAGAATTGTTCAATTGCAATGAATATTTTAATTAAGATTACTTTTTTTGTGTTATAATCCAAAATGTTTTAAGAAAAAAAAAAAAATTTTTTAAGAGGGGGGGGGGGGGTGAATGTCACGTGAGAGGAATGATTGGAAAAAAAGATGATCACGTGATGAAGGAAACAAGGAGTGTGTGTAGGTACGAGTAGGGAAGATGGCTGTAATGAATTTTCATTGATATGTTTTTCCTGTAAAAAGTGTAGATATGTTCAGCTGCTGTATTAAAATCAGTTGTGTTTACCGAGGATTTCCATGTTATGAATGTGAGGAAGAGATGGTTGTGAATTAACGCCTACCAGTGAGAGCTCGGCTATAACGAACACGTTACAACAGGGAACTTTACTGTACAGTAGGCAGGCACATTAAAGAGCCGGAGAAGAATGGGTGTGAATGAGTCACAGAACTAACCACCTACATATCTGTGTCACCAACATGGAAACTATTAGAAAAAAATATGATTGAGGTAAAATTGTTATTGACACACACACACACGTTTAAGGGCAACAATAAGAGTGACTGTGATTAAGAAAATGCTCACACTATTTCAGCATTCTGTATGTGTTGGCCATATTGCTGGCAGGAGGTTCTCCTGCAGTCAAGGTCAAGTGTTTGTGTACATAGGTGGCGTTTTGAGAACCAGCGCTTACCTCAAGTTTCCAAGTCTTTCAGAGGTAAAAATTTAACCACTCAGTACTGAACCAGTTTAAAACTGAATGAAATAGTTGAACAAGGTATGTGAAAGCTTGAATCAAATGCTAAGACAATAAGATGTGAACGTTTCGACTTAATGCCTTCTTCAGCAAACAGGACAAATAAAAACACAAGATGCAGAGCACAGTAAAAAAAACTTTAGAGATCTCCTTTGTTGCTGCCGGATGATTCAACATAACTTGTTCTACTATTTCATTCACGCAGCTTGAATGGAGTCCTTCAATTATTATCTTTTAAAATTGAAGCATTTATGATTTTAAAAAAAATTAAAAATGGAATTCATAATAACCTTATTTTTTTGTTCTGGTTCATGTTGTGTCTCACCTATTTTATAAACTTCCCTTGTCTGCTTTGTCACAGCCCTTCAACATCTGTAGGGTGGGATCACCAGGAGTTAGGATTGGAGTGGAAGCAGTCAAAGACGTACCAGCATACCACCAAGCAGAAGTGAAAAAAGTCTCACCACTCAAATCAATATTTAACCTCAAGCTATGGGCCTGGGGTAAACACTTTCACGTCTGGTACCCAGGATGACACGCTGGGCCCCTCCATCTGTCTTTATGGTCAGCTGGAATCGATCTGTGTATTTAACGATTTACTGACACTGGAACAGGTGAAGGCCCTTAACAAGACAGGTAAATAAACTTATACACCTGGTGATCACCTGTAAATCTGAAACAGGTAGGTCAGTTTTTACTCCTGATATCCACCTGTATGGCCGGCACAGGGGCATATAAGATTCAATATGTCACCACATCATTGTCATTGTAATACCAAAAATATTGAATACCTATCAATGTAATTTTATTGATTGTTTAAATTGTTTAAGACAGTGGTGCCAGGCCAATTGTTATTTCTCCAATGAGATAGGGCCTCAAGCAACAATTTTTAAGACTTGAGTTTATCAAGGGTATTATGACTGAATTAAATGTATGTATTCCTCTGGATTTATGACAAGCTATATCCATAATATCAAGTACACATGGAGCGTATTGATCCCATAACTGGGTTACTTTGTAATACACTTACAATTATGTTGACTAAGATCTGAGTTGTCCGTGTCACACGACTGTAAACAATAACAATGCATTACTACATAAACATCCTGCAAACTGTAACAGCAATTTATTTTTGTTTAGGCTTCAATTCACTGTTCCATTTTGCAAGTGACCCAGCACTAGCTGACCTGCCAGTCAAGCTCATTGCCAGGTACAATGCCAAAGTAAACTAAAACATTTTAAAACATTTTTATGAAACGTTAAAAAAAAAAAAGCCTGTGTTATTTCTATTGCTTGACTGTTACTTTGAGCCCAATTCTTTCATCCTAACACAATACAATGGCAAATGTCTAGACTTGGACTTGTTTTATGTGGCTTATAAGTAAATCAAGGACTTTGATGTTGGTGAAATAAACAAAGAACACATATCACCAGGCTTCAACCATGCAAGATATAAGACAGCCATGTTGTATTTATAAATCAGATACAAGACAGCCATGTTGTATTTATTAATCAGATATAAGAACACAGCAATGTTGTATTTATAAATCAGATATAAGACAGCCATGTTGTATTTATTAATCAGATATAAGAACACAGCCATGTTGTATTTATTAATCAGATATAAGAATACAGCAATGTTGTATTTATAAATCAGATATAAGACAGCCATGTTGTATTTATTAATCAGATATAAGAACACAGCCATGTTGTATTTATTAATCAGATATAAGAACACAGCAATGTTGTATTTATAAATCAGATATAAGACAGCCATGTTGTATTTATTAATCAGATATAAGAACACAGCCATGTTGTATTTATTAATCAGATATAAGACAGCCATGTTGTATTTGTTAATCAGATATAAGAACACAGCCATGTTGTGTTTATAAATCAGATATAAGACGGCATTATTGTACTTATCAAGATTATTTAGACACAAACAATTTGTTTAAATGAAACAATATAGGTTCAGCTTTAATAATGACCATACAGAATACAAATGTTAACAAATGATCTGTAGATGTTAACAAATTATCATACAGAATACAAATGTTAACAAATGATCATACAGAATACAAATGTTAACAAATGATCATACAGAATACAAATGTTAACAAATGATCATACAGAATAATAATAATAATAATAAGAGGTCTTATTTAGCGCTGTACTCCAGCCTAGGGCTGGGCTCACCGTGCTGTACATAAAAATTTTATTAAATGAGACATAATCATGACATTAAAATAAAATACATTTATGAAATAAAGAACAGCAATGTATATAAATGTTAACAACTTACTTTGTTTTAATCAGGGACTTGCACGCTTATTCTTTTCTCTCATTTTTAGCTAGGATACAGTGATATATATATATATATATATATATATATATATATATACATATTATGTATAATTAAACAAGCATTGGAAATAATTTGCTAACTAAAACTAATTAGAAAATTAGAAGTTAGATGGGGCCAACTTGAGCCAACTAGTTAAATAGAATACTGGCCATATGAGTGTTAGTTAGACAGTCATAATTTTATCTTCAAATTAGAAAGACATCGTCTGTGCTCACATTCCATTTCAGGCTTGCAAGAGTCAAATCTGTGCTGACCTTTCACCTTACCAAAACCATGGAACTTTTGTTGGCAACAAGTGTATCAACTGGGACTTGAGGGTTTGTTTTTATTCACTACTTGTACAAAAATTATGGAGTATTCATTATTTGGATACTAAAGGCTCGAGTGGAAAAGGAATAACCATTAATTGCTTGAGTGGAAAGGGTGCACCCGCTAGTTGCTTGAGTGGAAAGCGAGTACCCATTAATTTTGTTTGCCCATCCAGTGAAAGGGTGTGCTTTCGTGTATGGGAGTGAAAAGATGACTCATGGAGAATTTGAAAGCAGACAATGTTATTTGAATAAGAGAATGCTAGTTTTTTCATGATGTGTTTTTTTTTTTGCACTATGTATGACCAGGTGATGCTCTTAACATAGTGGTGCCCATGCAATGCACTCTAGGATTGTAGGAGAGATCAATTAATACAAATAATCAAAAGCAAAAAAACTATTAATTAAATTTAAGTCAATGTAGAGGATCAAGTATAGCGGGGTGGTATATGTTAAGAGAGGATGAGGTAGGGTGGGATTGGGGGGGGGGGTTGTTGAGGTTAAGAGTAGGCGTTTAGGGAAGGAAGCAGACGGATGGTGTATGTGGAAGGGGGGGTAACTGAGCATCTCTCATGGCGAATGTGGCCGTCCCTAGTGATACTGGTTCTCATAATTCTTAGAAGTTGAGGATTTTATCAGAATTTGAGATAATTTCTTACTTAAATCTTTATTTTTAATCCCCCCCCCCCTCCCCTTTTCAATGGCAAACCTGTTTACCTTCAAACTCTCAAAATCGTACAATATCATCACAAAATCGTTCAGTACATTATCTTAATAGTAAAAAAGAAACATAAAGAATATATAATGTATTCAAAATTGTACATTGTACGCCAAAATCGTAAAAGTAAACAGGTCTGCAACAGGCATTAATTTTATCAATATTCTTTTGGTTTGCCCTCTGCAACAATATCAACTATAGGATGTTATCAACTGCCTCGGAAGCATACAAGTGTTATTTCCCTTGCTGGAGATGCTGGATCATACAATCATAGAGATGCCCGTGGAGAGCCCAAGTTCACCAACCAAAACAGAAGCCTATGAACTTGATCTCGATGAATGGGCCCTAGTCACCTCAGGAACATCTGTTTCATCAGGTAAACTATTAATTTGATGATTTAGAAACTTGATTGCTGTCACAAACATTAAATCCATATAACAAAAATATTTTCTTGATTTTAAAATTCTATAATTTACATCACATTTATTTCATTAGGCAGAGGGGGAGGGAAGGGGGGCACATATGTCCCCGGGCGCCAAGGTACAGGGGCGCAAAAATGAGGGCTACAACGTTACACAATAATAAGTAAACAAGGGAAAGAAATTGGTCACAAGATCTTGCTCTTCTTAGCGTTCAAAGAGAAACATTGAATAAAACAGATATTGATTGGGTAATGGACCAGTTTGTGACAGTAACATCAAGAAAAATAAACTTTTTATAGACCATGTAAACCAGTCTATGACAGACACTGAGTGGGTCATGTACTATAAGTTCTATAAATTTGCTTCTTTAAATAGAATGTTTTATTAAAATTTAAATTGTTTTCCTTATTCAATGTAATAGAACAATGTGATAAAATGCGGAGAGGGCTGGGGTCGCCAATTGTATAGTTCCTCCCTGGTCGCAAAATATTATAGCTACGCCTCATATGTTACCTAATGATGTCATTGCTATAAGCGTATAATTGCTAGTAGTAAAAGCATATAATTGCTAGTGGTAAAAGCGTATAATTGCTAGTAGTAAAAGTGTATAACTGCTGTTAGTAAAATCATATAACTGCTAGTAGTAAAAGCGTATAATTGCTAGTAGTAAAAGCGTATAGTTGCTAGTAGTAAAAGCGTATAATTGCTAGTAGTAAAAGTTTATAACTGCTAGTAGTAAAAGCGTAAAACTGCTAGCAGTAGAAGCTTATTATCGCTATTAGCCATAAACTCTGGCGCCCTGCTATAACGTGATAATTGGGGTCTATAAATTCAGATGGCATTAACAGCGACTTGTGTATTACTGAGGTTTGACTTTTATCTGTGTCGAAATGATTTTTTGGTTACATTGATGAGATGGATCATTTCATTTCAAGAACACAGTTTTGTTTATTGGTGAGCAATTTGGTGTTGAAGTCAGACTAGTTGTATGTGTTTGTGATGTAAAAAAAAAAAACAACAAAAAAAACCCCCTACATTATTTTTATTTCTAAATTTTTTTTTTCACTTACTATGAAATACAACGATCTGGTGCAAATGTTGCGCAATATTTTCAGAGCCATGGCAGGACTGCAGTATCCAAATTTTCTTTATGTTTGGGTTCCACTGTACCTGTAATTGCTTGTTTCCGCTGTACCTGTAATTGCTTGTTTCTGCTGTACCTGTAATTGCTTGTTTCCGCTGTACCTGTAATTGCTTCTTTCCACTGTACCTGTAATTGCTTGTTTCCGCTGTACCTGTAATTGCTTGTTTTCACTGTACCTGTAATTGCTTGTTTCCGCTGTACCTGTAATTGCTTCTTTCCGCTGTACCTGTAATTGCTTGTTTCCGCTATGCAAATGTTGCGCAATATTTTCAGAGCCATGGCAGGACTGCAGTATCCAAATTTTCTTTATGTTTGGGTTCCACTGTACCTGTAATTGCTTGTTTCCGCTGTACCTGTAATTGCTTGTTTCTGCTGTACCTGTAATTGCTTGTTTCCGCTGTACCTGTAATTGCTTCTTTCCACTGTACCTGTAATTGCTTGTTTCCGCTGTACCTGTAATTGCTTGTTTTCACTGTACCTGTAATTGCTTGTTTCCGCTGTACCTGTACTTGCTTCTTTCCGCTGTACCTGTAATTGCTTGTTTCCGCTGTACCTGTAATTGCTTGTTTCCGCTGTACCTGCAATTGCTTCTTTCCCCTGTACCTGTAATTGCTTGTTTCCGCTGTACCTGTAATTGCTTGTTTCCGCTGTACCTGTAATTGCTTGTTTCAGCTGTACCTGTCATTGCTTGATGTTTGTGAACTTGACTCCCTCCAGAGCTGAAACTTGAACACAACCAGCTGGCTGCCTTCATTACCATGCTGAGGTATGTGCTCAAAGGAAAGACAGTCAACAAAGACAACTTTGTCAGGACCCACTGTGCCTCAACTTTGGCCATGCTTATGCAGAAGGTAAGAAAATGTTGACAAACCTGCTGAGATGTAAATTTCTCTAAATGTAAAAGTAAAACATTTATAAGGGGACATAATTTACTTAGGGGTCGTTTGCAAATTATGTCACACTGAAAATGACCTTTTCAGACCCCCCCTCCCCCGTCATAAAGTGTCTCAAATTCTTTACCCCCCACATAGTGTAACGTAACACCTACAAAATTTCAAAACAAACATAAAATTTCATAAACTAAACTAAGATTTTATTTTATTCTTTAACATTTTCCCATAAGGGATTAAGATGTAGTATCATTAAAAAAAACAAGATGGCCGTATAAAAAGAAAGCAAGCATAAGTTTTAATAATTTGTGACATACTATTTGACAAATTAAAATACTGTTAAATTTAACTTTGTAAACTTGAAGACTTCGGATGTATTGAAACATTTTTACAAGATTTCAATTTTATAGTAAGTGTTATAAAGATTTTTTGGATTTCTTCTGTGTCAAGTTTAAAGCGGAAGTTGTTTTACAAAGCTTTCTTTTTCAATAATTTCAATTTGTGAGCACAATATTTCCAATTCAAGATGCACACACAACGGGCCCCAGTAAGATGTGTGAAACTTGACAGTGTTCACCATGACAAAACACTTGCCCTTACATTGACAGGGAAGGAAGCCTTTAGGACAACGCAGTCCGAAATCCTTAGCACCCTGTTTGACAAATATAAGATTGGAAGCAGAGACATTGTGGCCTTTTACCAGTTTGAGGGACCCTTAAAGTGGTATCTGAAGCTTGGAGAGAGAGCGGAAAAACAAATGTATGACAACATGCATTTAACTAATATTAAAATCAATAAAGACATAATGCTCACCGTTGAGCACATTGGCCGAGAAAGGGCCAAACTATTTTTACATTGGGTACCACCTACCCTGCCAAAGGAAGGGGTAGAGGAGATGTTACATTTTTTATCTGAAGAGAAAGTGGAGGTATTTCAAAATAAAGAATGGGCCGACCGAAGGACTGTGGTCTATAGACCAAAAAAAAACGTGATTGTGCCACATTATCTACTCTTAGAGTGTGGTATTATCAAAAACACAAAAATCTTGGTACTGTTGCCAGGAAGATAGCAAGTGTGCTTCCATTGTGCCTCTTTGGACCACTGGACCAGCAAATGTAGACATTTTCGAAAAGGAAAGCCTTCACAGGTAGGTGACATAACAAACTCACCAGGCCGACTAATAATCGACGAAGATAATACAGACGGGATGACCCCTGGAAAATGTGCCTGATCAAGTTTCATGGATGCTGCCTATAATACCAGAGGCAATTTCCACATGGAAAATGAATGTTTTTAAAATTAATTGAATAAAGAGTTTTCAAAATTAGAAAATTTTAGATTTTTTATTTTCTTTATTTTGTGACGTCACAAATTTTTTATCCCCCTCCCCCGTCCCAAGTGTCACAAATCCCATCCCCCCCCCCCGAACGTGACATAATTTGTGAACGACCCAATTCCACATGGAAAATGAATGTTTTTAAAATTAATTGAATAAAGAGTTTTCAAAATTAGAAAATTTTAGATTTTTTATTTTCTTTATTTTGTGACGTCACAAATTTTTTATCCCCCCCCCCCGTCCCAAGTGTCACAAATCCCATCCCCCCCCCCCCGAACGTGACATAATTTGTGAACGACCCATTACCCTTAAGATTGAAGATATAGACTCAAATTTTGGATTATGTTTTTCAACTCCAACCTAAATCCCTAGATTAAATTCACCCTATCAGGTTTGAGTGTCACTACTGTCAGGTTCATCGAGACATGATGGATTTGACAGTTCTGATGTCAATCCAGTATCTGATAGAGGATTGTGACGACACCCCCAGTGTGAAATCAATACTTCTGCAACACATCTACCACGACATCCTGTTTGACTTCTCACTGTGGAGCAAGACACATTTTGCAGTTAGAATAGGTAACAAAAAGCAAGACACATTTTCCGGTAATTTGTAACAAAAAGCAATACACATTTTCCAGTTAGAATATGTAACAAAAAGCAAGACACATTTTTCCGGTTAGAATATGTAACAGAAAGCAAGACACATTTTCCAATTAGAATATGTAACAAAAAGCAAGACACATTTTCTGTTCAGAATATGTAAATAAATTTGGGATGAGATTAAATGTATGTGCATTTGATTGAGCAACTGTTGAATTTAAAAAAAAATAATATAAATATTGTTTCCTAGGACACATCCAGTATCTATCCACCATCATCAAAGAAGATCGCAAATATTTCAGAAAGAAGTATGGCGTGCAATTTTTCTTGGATATCATCAGGGCCTACTACGGGTAATCTTGGACACTGGACACGTTGTTGGTGTTTACGTGCCTTTTATCATGATTCATTTCTTTTCTTGATACGGTCGAGACCGTATAAATATATCTGGGACTAATAATTGGGTTGGACAAATGTTTTTAGTGTTTATAGTTTCATGGACTAAAGAAAGGAAATTGCAACAGATACAGTTCAGGATTTTTTTTCTTTCAATATAAGTATCTAATAGCATTAGAACAGGTTTCAGTGTCTAGTGTAGTCCTCCCAGTGAAAGTATAGGGACAAATATTGTATGAATAACAGACAATGTATTTCATTGCCATCCATCAACCCTGCAATCAGAGCTACATTTATTTGAATTAAATTCAAATATAAATTTAAAAAAAAAAAAAAAAAAAAAATTGTTCATAAATTATCTTTCTTCAAATATGTAACAAAAAGCAAGACACATTTTGCAGTTAGAATATGTAACAAAAAGCAAGACACATTTTGCAGTTAGAATATGTAACAAAAAGCAAGACACATTTTGCAGTTAGAATATGTAACAAAAAGCAAGACACATTTTGCAGTTAGAGTATGTAACAAAAAGCAAGACACATTTTGCAGTTAGAATATGTAACAAAAAGCAAGACACATTTTGCAGTTAGAATATGTAACAAAAAGCAAGATACATTTTGCAGTTAGAATATGTAACAAAAAGCAAGACACATTTTGCAGTTAGAATATGTAACAAAAAGCAAGACACATTTTGCAGTTAGAATATGTAACAAAAAGCAAGACACATTTTGCAGTTAGAATATGTAACAAAAAGCAAGACACATTTTCTGTTCAGAATATGTAACAAAAAGCAAGACACATTTTGCAGTTAGAATATGTAACAAAAAGCAAGACACATTTTGCAGTTAGAGTATGTAACAGAAAGCAAGACACATTTTCCAATTAGAATATGTAACAAAAAGCAAGACACATTTTCTGTTCAGAATATGTAAATAAATTTGGGATGAGATTAAATGTATGTGCATTTGATTGAGCAACTGTTGAATTTTAAAAAAAAAATAATATAAATATTGTTTCCTAGGACACATCCAGTATCTATCCACCATCATCAAAGAAGATCGCAAATATTTCAGAAAGAAGTATGGCATGCAATTTTTCCTGGATATCATCAGGGCCTACTACGGGTAATCTTGGACACTGGACAGGTTGTTGGTGTTTACGTGCCTTTTATCATGATTCATTTCTTTTCTTGACACGGTCGAGACCGTACAAATATATCTGGGACTAATAATTGGGTTGGACAAATGTTTTTTAGTGTTTATAGTTTCATGGACTAAAGAAAGGAAATTGCAACAGATACAGTTCAGGATTTTTTTTCTTTCAATATAAGTATCTAATAGCATTAGAACAGGTTTCAGTGTCTAGTGTAGTTCTCCCAGTGAAAGTATAGGGACAAATATTGTATGAATAACAGACAATGTATTTCATTGCCATCCGTCAACCCTGCAATGAGAGCTACATTTATTCGAATTAAATTCAAATATAAATTTAATTTTAAAAAAATATAAAAAATTGTTCATAAATTATTTTTCTCCTTCCCGTTGTGGTGCAAGATCAAGTTGTTTGATGTTATTTCAGCACAACTACCGACAGCGGGATAAGTGAAGAGGACAGCAAGTCCATACGCGTGTCCCTGCTGCAGCTCATCAAGTTCTACATTATGAACAGCATCACGGTGGAGGAGCTGACCCAGCTTATGGGGTTTATTCTGTCTGTCAAGCAACCGACACTGGTGAGCCAATGATGTTACGTCCGGCTGCATTGCGCCACGTTGTCTATTTCAGTAATGAATGAACACAGGTTACTTATTTTCTAAGAAGAATTATAAAACCTATTTACATGAGGGTAACAAAATATTCTTTTTTCCACGCACCCGAACTGTATTTTCAGCAAAGCGTAAAACATGTGTTTCCTTATTCATAAAAGAAGAATCAAAGTTAAAAATATTCACATCTGTGACATAAGGTTTACTTTTATAAGTATATAGTAAATGTATTGGAGTTCAATCCCCCACCAAAGCCCAGCCAAGCAAAAACATCACCAGCACTTCGGGTGGATGGGACGCGTTAACCTTGGATGGCAACTCATCTAAGAGAAGGAAACTGAATTCAAACCCGGAGATGGAGTCCTGTAAGCGGATAATATTCATACAATGAAACAATCCGACAACTCCTGCGACACCACTGGTGCCAAGCTGTATCATCCAGATGATGTTCCTTTGGGGTTGTCCAGTGGCATAAAGCTAGGCGATTTGCTGTGTAGGGAACCAGTTTATAATCCTAGAAGAATAATCCCAGGCCTTGTGGATCTTCGTGCTGCAAAGTCCGCACCATCGTCACATTGTGACTGACGGATGCCAGCAACAACAAAAATAATGTATTAAGATATCATTCCCAGCTTGTATAGTTTGGGCTGGGTGCTGACGTCTGTTAGCCAGGCCACTTTCTTATTGGGGTTATTAATGTAGGCCCTGTGTGTTATGTCTGATCCCCCCTCCCTCCCAGGTCCTGGGGGCCATGGACCCCATGATAGCCCTGCTGGAGAGCCCAAGTGGAAAACAAGATCAGCTGGTACTGCTGCTGCATGAGCAAAACCAAGCAGAGATGTTCTACAAGCTGTTGACCTACCTTCACAAGCCAATTATATTCTATGAGAAGGTGGTCAAGGTATGACTTGCGTAATGTTTTTATTTTTATGGTCATATGGGTGTGGTCATTTTTATGTGGACGGTGAGGGCCGATACTCATGCTTTTTAACTGTTTTAAAATATGAAAATATAGGTCATTGAATGTCAAGGGCAAGCTTTATAAATAGTTCTATATCACATAGATCCTCTTCATCCTACTGAAGACCGAGAGAGTGTATGAGAAAAACATGGATCTTTGAATGTCAAGGGCAAGCTTTATAAATAGTTCTATATCACATAGATCCTTTTCATCCTACTGAAGACTGAGAGAGTGTATGAGAAAAAGAAGTCCCGGCTGAAGCTGTCGGACATCGGCCATGCTGGTCTCATCAACTTGATGGCCAACTATGAGATATCTGCCCCGATGATCAAGCGTTTTATTGAACAAGTGGCCTTTACGGGTCATTTGTAAAACGTTAGCTATACCGTTGAAGGCAATGTCATGGCCACTGCTGCAAGTTTTGTTTGAATAATACTTAAAGTTTTTATGCTGAAATGGAAAATGATGAAATCTTTGAATTGAAAGCCTTCCCTTCTTCATTAAATATGTCGTTTGAATATTTCATCTATTCCAATGCCTGTGCATTTTTTTTACTCAGAAACTTCTCAGACCTATAGTGCAGTGTTATCTATCCTTGGCCTTGTTCACGGTTGTGGTCTGGACATAAAATCAGAGGCTAGCAGACAGGTGAGATCATGAGTGACACATGTAGTAGACTAGACATATATTCATATGGCAAAAAAGTAGCTGAAACACAATAAGCAGTAGAGGCACCTTTTAAAAAGTAGGGGCACCTCTGTCAACTGTACAGCCACCTCTGCTATAAACAGAGGCACCTCTATCAACAGTACCTCTATAAAGAGTAGTGACACCTCTATAAACCGTAGTGACACCTCTATCAACAATGGAGGTACCTCTACATATAGAAGTGGCACCTCTATAAACACTAGAGCCGCTATATAGACTGATGCTCATCTATAAACACTAGAGCTGCCTATATAGACTGTGATGCACCTCTATAAACACTAGAGCCGCCTATATAGACTGTGATGCACCTCTATAAACTGTGATCTATATAAACTGTGATGCACCTATATAAACTGTGATGCACCTCTATAAACTGTGATGCATGTCTATAAACACTAGAGCCGCCTATATAAACTGATGCACCTCTATAAACTGTGATGCACCTCTATAAACTGTGATGCACCTATATAAATTGTGATGCACCTCTATAAACTGATGCACCTATATAAACTGTGATGCACCCCTATAAACTGTGATGCACCTATATAAACTGTGATGCACCTCTATAAACACTAGAGCCGCCTATATAAACTGCGATGCACCCCTATAAATTGTGATGCACCTCTATAAATTGTGATGCACCTCTATAAACTGTGATGCACCTCTATAAACAGTGATGCACCTATATAAACTGATGCACCTATATAAACTGTGATGCACCTCTATAAACTGTGATGCATGTCTATAAACACTAGAGCCGCCTATATAAACTGTGATGCACCTCTATAAACTGTGATGCACCTCTATAAACTGTGATGCACCTATATAAACTGTGATACACCTATATAAACTGTGATGCACCTCTATAAACTGTGATGCACCCCTATAAACTGTGATGCACCCCTATATAAACTGTGATGCACCCCTATAAACTGTGATGCACCCATATATAAACTGTGATGCACTCCTATATAAACTGATGCACATCAAGACAGTTCTTTAGATAAAGTTTGAAAGCTATAACCCATGGCTGAATATAAAAATAGTTTATTAAAGTTTAATTGTATTTGAGGGGAACCCCCCCCCCCCCCCCCTCCCCCCCCCCCCNNNTATAACCCCTGGCAGAATATAAAAAGATGTTATTAAAAGTTTATTGTAATTGCGGGGAACCCCCCCCCCCCCCTTTCCAACCCCGCTAAATCCATGCCATCTACTTGTTTTGAGTGGCCCACTATCACTCAAAGTGTTATCTCACTATGTTCAGCCCTATTGTGAAGCCCCTATAGCTTATACATTTTAAGCCAGCCACACCATTGCAGTGTACACATATTAATACTGTCAGAGTTTATACATTCTCTCAGTTTCTTTGTTTTGACCTCTTTCTCTCTTCTGCCACCAGCTTTTGGCATTCATTGTATCCAAGACAGGGGCAGCTAAAGGCTTTGCCAAACAGCTAGGCTGGCAGGAAAACATCACCAGGCTCCTCACCGTGGAAAGGAGGCGCGCCTTCACCCTGACCAACCCATCTAAAGTTGACTCTTCTCACGCCGAAAGCAGGTCCTCTGGAGCAGAGTCTGTCAAGCTAACTTCAAATGGACCTAACCTACATTTGCCAACCCTATCAGAGCCACTGGGCCAACACGTCCTTAACCTACCTCTGACGACACTATCAGAGTCGATGGACCAACATATCCCTAACGTACCTGTGCCGACACTATTAGAGCGGCTGGATCAACTTGTCCCGTCCACTATAGCAATACCTGGCAGCTTTCCACCATCAACCCCCACATCACACGACAACTCATCCAAACGGCCATCATTAGATGTAAGCCAGGAGAATGTTGGTACAGGCACATCCCATCCCTCACCACCCACACTTTTCACGTTGGACAACAACAATTCTGCAGACAGTTCAGGTGTTACAGGTACGTATCTCTGGTATTTGAACCTTTAACTCCGGTAGCAGATTCAGGCTCAACATTTTCAGTATTTCAGTTGCATTGGATGCAGCGTCTGGATGAGGGATGGCGGTGTAAATCCATGCCAGATGTGTGATGACAGGTTGATGGTAATAAAAAGGTTCATGTCTCTGTCAATAATGTTATGTACTCTCCACAACGAAATACCTAAAGATAAACAGCATCATGGGTTTTTAAGGAGTCTATAAGATTTAAAAAAAAATTCCAATCCATCATAATCTTGCAAACATGTCTTTTGTTAAATTACTCAAAATTTAACTTGATCTCTTATGTCAACTATACCGTTTTTCTTCAACTTTTCGAACACCCCCCCCCCCCTCCCCCCCACCAGACCATTTGAATAAGCCTAGTGACCTCCTCTTGCGATCCTCCCCTCCTGCTGTCACAGTGAACCAACACGTTGAAGAGATCAAGAATACAATAGGCTCTCCAACCAGACCCAGTGCCCTCCCCTTCCCATCCAGCCCACTAGAGGAGAAGCCGAGCCAAGAAGACGACGAGTTGATTGATCAGCTGTTGCAGGAGCCCATCCCCAACTCGCCTCTTTACATCAAGAGAAAATTTTACGAGATGGAAACGCCAGATGTTGATGACAATGAAGGTGAGTCACAAAAAAGCTTTCCCCCATCAACCCATTCAACACAGGGCACTCAGAAATTGTATCCATTGAAACCCCAGCCGTATGGGAACAACTCCACATTTATCACATATTAGTTTAGACATTTAAAAAAAAAATTGAATGACAAATTTATTTTGTAATATATTTTTATGAAATAAATTGATTTGCATTCATAACTGGTCCATTNTGTCTTTTGTTAAATTACTCAAAATTTAACTTGATCTCTTATGTCAACTATACCGTTTTTCTTCAACTTTTCAAACACCCCCCCCCCCTCCCCCCCACCAGACCATTTGAATAAGCCTAGTGACCTCCTCTTGCGATCCTCCCCTCCTGCTGTCACAGTGAACCAACACGTTGAAGAGATCAAGAATACAATAGGCTCTCCAACCAGACCCAGTGCCCTCCCCTTCCCATCCAGCCCACTAGAGGAGAAGCCGAGCCAAGAAGACGACGAGTTGATTGATCAGCTGTTGCAGGAGCCCATCCCCAACTCGCCTCTTTACATCAAGAGAAAATTTTACGAGATGGAAACGCCAGATGTTGATGACAATGAAGGTGAGTCACAAAAAAGCTTTCCCCCATCAACCCATTCAACACAGGGCACTCAGAAATTGTATCCATTGAAACCCCAGCCGTATGGGAACAACTCCACATTTATCACATATTAGTTTAGACATTTAAAAAAAAAATTGAATGACAAATTTATTTTGTAATATATTTTTATGAAATAAATTGATTTGCATTCATAACTGGTCCATTTATGTGTCATATTACATTAGTTCTCTCTTTTGTTGGGTAAATTTTTAAAGAACTATGACAAAGTACTTGATTACTCATGATCATGGCGCTACAAAAGTTAATCTTCTATCAAAATAATGAATACTCCTTGCTATCAAAATAATGAATACTCCTTGTCTGATCTATAATTAAAAATTTGGAAGTTATCCACCGTGGTCTCGTATCTTGCGAGGTTCTCATTTCAATGGTGAGATCTGTGCTAGCTACATATAAGATGAAAACAACGTGTTTGAGTGGCCTTATTTTGCTGTTACCACGGTTTGAATGGGTTAATTAGGCAATTGCTACACATGAAGTCATACCATTTTTATAACATTACCCTGAAAATAACGATATGCTACTTTATCTGACACACAGATTTACGTAATGGCAGTCAAAGCTCGAGCGCCAGTGAAGTTCAGTGGACAATCTCTTACAGGAGGGCGGTGATTCCAGGAGGAGCTCAGTGGACAATCTCTTACAGGAGGGTGGTGATTCCAGGAGAAGTTCAGTTGACAATCTCTTACAGGAGGGCGGTGATTCCAGGAGGAGCTCAGTGGACAATCTCTTACAGGAGGGCGGTGATTCCAGGAGAAGTTCAGTGGACAATCTCTTACAGGAGGACGGTGATTCCAGGAGGAGCTCAGTGGACGATCTTTTAGGGGGTGCCGATGAGTCCAGGAGGGGTTCAATGGTTTTACAGGGCGAGACTTTGAAAAAAGGTCAGTTCCTGTTGGCAATAAAAATAAATGCTCGTATTGAAGATAAATTTTTATTGTGTGTGGCATCAGTTTCACTAATCATCAAATTGATGAGTTACGAGAATTGCAGTTTGAGAATTGTTAGGTTTATATCAACTCAACAGAAATTTCCAGTTAACAAACATTGCGTAATTATATTAAGAAATTGTAAACAGCCTTTTGCCATCCTCTCAGACACCACATTTCAGCTCAGTGCTATCTTTTAAAATCAAATTCTGTTTTTACTGTTGTTTGTTCGCTGACGAACACAGATACCATTGTTGTTTTGTAGCGTCCTTTTTTTCTTAAGTTTTCCCGGCACGTTGTTTTGCTCATTTCTTTTTTAATGAATTTCAGTGTCATAACATCAGTAGTTATCAGATCTGTTCATGAACATCTTGTGCTAAGCACGTGTCCCTTTAAGTTAAACACATGAATTCACAGTGCTGTGTTGCTGTTGGTATTTTTAAACAACACTTGAGGGGGAAGAAAAAAAAAATCATTCCACTATTTATTGGTCTCTATCTTCCATCTCAACGTCCTTCAGGTCCTTGACCATGTTGGGGTGCAGCTGACCGATGCCATAGAACAAAAAGAAGAACTTTGCCAGAATATACTTATAATCCTCCTGTCCATCATGTGGAAAGGTATTGAGGGCTCCAGCAAGGAGATATGGAAGGTAGGTAACATTTCTGTCATTCAATTTGTAAGATTATCCCCACCCTCTCTCCCCCCTGGGAGAGTTGTACTTCAGTATGTGAGCTTAGAGAGTCCTGTAAAATAATAGACTTATTTTTATGTTTGTCCCCCAGAATAGATGTCAGGTGCTTACCTGGGTATTTGAGCTTGGAGAGTTCTGTGAGATAATGGCTTATTATTAACTGTTGATCCTCAGGAGAGATGTCAGGTGTTTACCTGGATAGATGAGCTCAGGGAGTCCCATGAGCCGATCCGGCCCCCTGAGGAGATCAAGAGACGTCTCCTCGAGATGATGCTGCACAACTGTATGATGGACATTGGCAGCTCCGGTGTCCAGACTCCACTGGCCCTCTCAGAAAATGCCATCGAACTCATCCGCCTGGTGCAGGGCTTTGTCACCAAGCCTGATGCCCCCCCTGAGGCTTACTCTAACAGAGTAAGTCCCTGTGAGCTGTTGAGTTTGTTTCAGTAAATATGATAGTGAAGTGCTACTTTTTGCTTTTCTACAACATAATCACTTGAAAGGGACAGTGATGATTGGCAGCAGAGATAAAGTTAAACAGCAAAACAAACTGATTCTCTTTTTTTATGTTTGTTATAAAAATAGACAAGAAATAATCCCGTATGTTACACCTCACTTAAGACTTGTATGTTACAGCTCACTTAAGACTTGTGTGTTACAGTTCACTTAAGAATTGTATGTTACAGCTCACTTAAGACTTGTGTGTTACAATTCACCTAAAACTTGTATGTTACAGCTCACTTAAGACTTGTGTGTTACAGCTCACTTAAGACTTGTATGTTACAGCTCACTTAAGACTTGTGTGTTACAGTTCACTTAAAATATGTATGTTACAACTCAATTAAGACTTGTATGTTACGGCTCACTTAAGACTTTTATGTTACAGTTCACTTAAGACTCATATGTTACAGTTCACTTAAGACTTGTATGTTACAGCTCACTTAAGACTTGTGTGTTACAGTTCACTTAAGACTTGTATGTTACAGCTCACTTAAGACTTGTGTGTAACAATTCACCTAAAACTTGTATGCTACAGTTCACTTAAGACTTGTATGTTACAGATCACTTAAGACTTGTATGTTACAGCTCACTTAAGACTTGTGTGTTACAGTTCACTTAAGACATGTATGTTACAACTCAATTAAGACTTGTATGTTACGGCTCACTTAAGACTTGTATGTTACAGTTTACTTAAGACTTGTATGTTACAGCTCACTTAAGACTTGTGTGTTACAATTCACCTAAAACTTGTATGTTACAGTTCACTTAAGACTTGTATGTTACAGATCACTTAAGGCTTATATGTTACACCTCACTTAAGACTTACACCTCACTTAAGACTTGTATGTTACAGCTCACTTAAGACTTGTGTGTTACAGCTCACTTAAGACTTGTATGTTACAGCTCACTTAAGAATTGTGTGTTACAGTTCACTTAAAATATGTATGTTACAACTCAATTAAGACTTGTATGTTACGGCTCACTTAAGACTTTTATGTTACAGTTCACTTAAGACTCATATGTTACAGTTCACTTAAGACTTGTATGTTACAGCTCACTTAAGACTTGTGTGTTACAGTTCACTTAAGACTTGTATGTTACAGCTCACTTAAGACTTGTGTGTAACAATTCACCTAAAACTTGTATGTTACAGTTCACTTAAGACTTGTATGTTACAGATCACTTAAGACTTGTATGTTACAGCTCACTTAAGACTTGTGTGTTACAGTCCACTTAAGATATGTATGTTACGGCTCACTTAAGACTTGTATGTTACAGTTCACTTAAGACTTGTATGTTACAATTCACCTAAAACTTGTATGTTACAGTTCACTTAAGACTTGTATGTTACAGATCACTTAAGACTTGTATGTTACGGCTCACTTAAGACTTGTATGTTACACCTCACTTAACTCTCAAAAGACGGGAGATTGAAAAATCGGTCATATATGGCGGGTGAAAAGAACGACCCCTAAAATATATATAAAAATAATATTAAAAGGCGAAAATAAAGATTTACTATTTTGGAATGTTAAATTTCTATTTGGCAAGAAAGAAAAATCGTTTATTTTACTAGTTCTTGAAGAAATCTGGTAGCAACTTGTCCATTCATAAATTTTCCTTTTCGCCATTTACTCATATTTTGCCACAATTCCGGTTCACTGTTACTACACTCTAAAACATTGCTATGGA